TTGTGTGATCTACAATAATAATCTGCTCCATGTTGATATTTATTGTTGTGTTGCTGACAATTACCTGAAAGAGAAGTTGGGGTGCTTCACTGGCCTGGAAAGAGTTTAGCTAAATCAGAAAGCAGGTCTAATTAAGCAAGTTTATTCTATATCTATAAAGGGCTAAGTTGACTCACACATGCGCAATACATATAAAGCTCTTGCTGGCGCCAATCGCATGCATGTGTTTTGATCTGTCATTGCCGATCGTGAATTCGGTTGACACTTCTAATATAGAGAAAGGGCGAATAATGATATTAAAATATGTCTTCTAATTAATTTCCTTTCAATGTGTACAAATTCGTGTACTGGGCCAGTAGTAAAAATATAATGAAAAAGTTTGAATATTGTTAGAATTTCCAAAATATGACACAGAGACATGAACTAAGCAAATGCTGTTGATTAGTAAAATATGCAGTATCTGCAGAGTACAATAAAGCAAAGCACAATAAAATGAGATATACCTGTATAAATATATACATTTACATAAGCAAACATTTTCTAAAAATATTTGTGTAGATAGGTTATAGCATATTTTATTATTTCAAGATAGTAAAGGGGCCACTTAAACATTTTTTTTATAAACAGGGGATGTTGAATATTTATTTTTCATAATGATTATTACATTTTCTCTGCCTAAGATACATACATGCAATGAGGTTATTATAATGAGTGTAAAACACAATGGCAGAAGCTACATTTATAAGTGAGATGAATGAAATTTGCAAATTAATGAAGTGATCTAAATCTTGAAAGAAATGTCAAAGACATGGTGTAGACAGAAAGTAGAGCTAATATCAAGATGTTTAAAAGGGAAACAGGAAGCAAGCAGGTCTCTTTATAGATAGCATGTTAACCACAGCATTTGTATTCACAGGCAGAATACTCTCTCCCAAATGTAATGGAGTCAGCATTTTATTTTGAACAAGCTGGAGTTGGTTTGGGCACTGATGAGATTTATCGCATATGTCTTGCCCTCAAGCAGCTTACTGACACCCACCCAATCCAAAGATGCCGTTTCTGGGGCAAGATCTTGGGACGGGAAATGAATTATATTGTAGCTGAAGTGGAATTTCATGAAGGAGAAGATGAAGAGGAGGTGGAAGAGGAAGATGTAACTGAAGAGAGGGACAATGGAGAGAGGGAAGGTGAAGAAGACGAGGATGAATTACCAAGGTCCCTTTACAAGGCCCCACAGCCTATACCAAAAGAAGAAAGCAGAACAGGTGCCAACAGATACATTTATTTTGTTTGCAATGAACCGGGAAGACCATGGGTGAAGTTACCATCAGTTACACCTGCACAAATTGTTATTGCAAGAAAAATCAAGAAATTTTTCACTGGGCGATTGGATTCTCCCATCATCAGCTACCCACCTTTCCCAGGAAATGAGAGTAATTACCTACGAGCACAAATTGCCAGAATTTCAGCAGGGACCCATGTCAGCCCTTTAGGATTCTATCAGTTTGGTGAAGAGGAAGGAGAGGAGGAGGAAGAAGTAGAAAGTGGGCGAGATAACTTTGAAGAAAACCCTGATTTTGAAGGCATCCAAGTGGTTGATCTAGTGGAATCCCTATCCAATTGGGTTCATCATGTACAACATATACTACCTCAGGTAGGGGCTTTGCAGTTCTCAATCTATCAGCCAATCAGCACATATGTATTAAATTCAGCATACAATGCATACATATATTCAGACTCTAGACAGAGAAAGAGGTCATTAAAAATCAAGTAAAAGCACACAGTACAATATAATTGACAAGTAATATAGACCTGGGATCTTCAAACAGATTTTTATTTCCAAACAGAAATAAGATAATCATTTCTATGGAGTATTGGACAAGTTATTTAAGGATTAAGATTTATTTGTCTTGTGAAACTAATTTTGGGAACCATTTTTTAAAAATTCTATTGCTATAATACATGGAGATTTTATGCCAAGAACAATAAAAAATATAATAAAAATAAAAACAAGCAAACAGTGCTAAATAGCAGTTATATAGCACATATTCTACTAGGTGCTCTTAATAGCCTTTTATATGCATTACATCATTTTATAATCATAACTGTATAAAAAGCATCAGACAATAGTGGGGTGAAGCCCTGTGGGGGTGGGGGTGGTGTGGAAGGGGTCAATGGGAAAAAAAGGGGGATATCTGTAATACTTTCGATAATAAAGATAAATTAGAAAATAATATTATCCTTATTATACAGATGAGGGAATTGAGGCAAAGTTGAGGAAATGTAAAATAAGTAATATACTAATAAGCAATAGGGTCAGATGTGAGTAGGTATAATGGATTCAGAGTTCATCCTTTTAATCACTCTGCTCTATCACCGCAACTGCAGGTAGAAAATCTTTATACTTGGACCTACATATGAGATATTCTTATGACTTTAGATAAGAATTAATCAGATCAGAAATTTTAACCCAAACCTCCATACCTAATCTTATAATTTTTATTAATATTACATTATCTTTCTTATATATTATTTATTACAAATAAGTGAAATGCATTATTTTTTTTTAACTAAGTCACTGCTAATTTTAAAATATACCTGTTCTGTAACTTCAAGTAGTTGGCAGATTCCTGAAATATATAGTACAATCTTTTGCTTGAAAAAAACCTAGATCATAATAGCACTTGGTAAATATATGTTGAATGAATGAATGATTAAATTCCCACACAGTGAAACCTTATGCAGATAATTTCATGAATCTGAATGAATACTCTGATATTTTAAGATCTTCATCTTGCAATATTCATACTCAGGGTCGCTGTAATTGGTTCAACCCCATACAAAAAAGTGAAGAGGAGGAAGAAGATGATGAAGAAAAAGAAGAGAAAGGAGAAGAGCCTGACTACATAGAACAGGAAGTGGGGCCTCCTCTCTTGACACCAATCTCTGAAGATTTAGGTAATTTTACATAAACTTTATATGTTATTACTATGTATATTATACTATATATACCTATACTGTGCATATATGCATAGCATACATATATGTATACCACATATACACATACTATGTATATTTAATACTATATATACATACTATATGTGTAATACTATATATACATATACTATGCAATATTACTAGTATATGTAGATAGTAGTATACCTAGTATATATAATGTTCTATATGTATGGCATATGTGTATATATTCTATGTGTATATAATATACTGTATCTACATATCTACACACACACACACTATAGTATATGTGTGGAATAAAGAATGTAGCTGGCCAAACCACCAACTTTCTCTGACAGAAGTTAAAGAAGTACCACACAGGGAGGAAACAAGTTGGCTGTAGCTCTTACTGAAATGCTGACAGTTATCTTGTGTATCATTCTTATCTTGCATTCTGCACACTATAGATAGATGACCATAAACACTTGACATTATTATTTATACTAATAAAAAGGTAATATGCTAATTAGACTGGGAGACCTTCCAGACGTTCTTCTGGACAAAGCCATTGTGGTGGAGCCAAGGTAGAGGCGGCTAGAGGGCAAGAAAGGAGGGCAGTTGTGGGTGATCAGGCTCATGGGGGGCGGGGCTGTTGG